CGGTTGACTCAGCGGAAAGTATGGCGGTGGCTTAATTTTGAAGCAACAAAATTGGTCAAAACGTTGTAATACGTTTTCTTCTCACACAAGACCCCAGACCAGATTTCTCCCTTTGTACAAAAATTCTTCCTCTTCCATCTGACCTTTCTCTTCTCAAAACCTACCACCATCTCCTCTCTTTCCATTTTAGGAATCCACCGCCGCACCAGTGGAAAACAAGTGTCGGAGAGAGCCCTCTCAAATGAGAGATAATATGCTCCCCAACTCTAGCTCTGCCCTACTCCTCTGCCGCCGCACCCCAAACCAACGACATTTTCCCAACCCAGATAGTGATACTGGCATGGAAGGATGAAGAGGAAGGATGAAAATGAAGGTGATCTAATGGAACTCAAGTAGCGGAAGCCGACGTAGTCGAGAAATCGCTCTCATGCCATCTCAGCTTCTGCATCAAGACCGACGAGTTCTTCCTTGATGACGTCGTTGCGTGCTATACCCCAGTCAGTCGATCGATGCCTTGAACAGTGGCTTTGCGCATCTGTCCCTGCCCGTGGAATACAGCCATCTCGAACGTCATCTCTGCTGGTATGGCCGTAATTTTCAGATCATTATTTAGATCCTAAAGGTGAGCATAGTTTACTTGAGTGTTTGATGCTCATGGGTTAGGGAAATTTGGGTCTTTTTTCATGCAATTTGTTCTTGGAATTATATATGTGAGGTCTACCGCCATGAATTTTGATTGATTGTTGGAGCTTATTTCAAGAATGAATTCCATACTTACTCCTTCTTGAGAGTCTCCACTTACTGTGTTTCTTTTCTGCTCTTCTCAAACCAAAGTCGCAAAAAACATTCTTATCTTTCTCCTCACTGTGCTGCAAAATCATCTGCCGTTAATAAAAGAGAAACCCCGAAAAAACCCCGAGCAATGTACTAAGAAGTTCGAGACAAATTCAAAACCAAAGAAAGCCGATGAGGACGGGATCTAGAGATCATCGGCTCCGAGGAAGAGAAGAAGAACCTCGTGAGAAAAGAAAGAAAAGCATTCTTGCATAAAATCCTAATCAAAATCCCTTTTAGAAATGACAAAACTCCACGAGGCATGAAAAGAGGGGAAATTTAAAAACAACACTTACGAAGAAACCAAGATATGAAATGTGAGGCCTCTAAAGCCAAATGAGGCTTCATCGACCGAGAACTGAAATTATAAGTTTACTTGTTAGTTTATGGTGAAGGCTCAGTTGTTCACGAGCAGTTGTTGTTGTGACTAGGTTTTATGAGCGATGAAACTTCGGCGGTACGAGAGGATGGCCCCGACTGATCTGCTCAACTCCGAAGTAATGGTATGGAGTAATAATAATGTCATAATTCTGTGTTTTTCTATTATACTGTTGTTTACTGTATGAGAGGATGGCCCCGACTGTAGCACACTATTTTTACTTATCATATTCATTCTGGTAGAATTAATTCAGAAGAATTTATTCATCATTCTGTGATGCTGGAAGGCTTGCCTTAACCTCAAATGGAAGAAATAATAGAGTATGCCTAATATCCTGATTTTGTTAACGAGTCATAATATTATTTTGGTTACTCTTTATGATCTGAGCACTTTCATGAGTCTTGTTCCTCATGGATTTGTAGTCATAACTCATAAATGTTCACTTACTTTACTTGGTTGTTTGGTAATCTTTTGTGATTGTTTTTGTGTTGAGCAATGTTAATTAAATATTAAAGTTTAGACTGGAATAAGAGAGAACGTCCAATTTTTATCAGATTCTCCCTTTCATCACTGGATTGCTTAGAATACGAAGTCAATGTGCTCCTCATTTGTTGGATTGATCAATTTTTTTTTTTTCTCTGAGATATCTAAACGACGGTGTCTTATGTGCATTCATCCTTTTAACTTGATCAGGATTGTGAATCATCCTTATGGTAGAGTGTTGTATGTTGGTGTGAGAGGATTAATAGGGCGTTGTTGGTAGAGGAATATAAAATAATGAGAAGGTATTGAAGATTCAAAAAGCAAAGGAAAAACTTGTTGCCAAGAGCTGCTAGAATGTGAGTGGATACAATTATGAAATTGTATCAAAGTTTTTGGAGCATAATATCTGTATTTTTGTTGGGTTCTTCTTAATATAGCGAGTTATTCCCGCCATAGATAGCTGAAAGAATCAAAGAGGAATCAATGGCAGCTCCTTCCAAAACCCTAATGGATTTCTTACAGCGGTCGGCTGCGGCGAAGTGTCTTAAGACCTGCTCTGCGGCTTCTGATGGCCCTCTTTCATCATCATCAACAGCTGCTATTTCCTCGGACCACAAGCAAAGAATCGAATCAACAGAGCCCTCGCCTTATCCAAGCGAAACCTCAAAATCTACTCTGATAAACTCTCCAAATCAGATTCTTCAGGTCTGTTGATGTTTTACTATTGAAATATTTAATCAGTTAGGTCACCCAGTGCCAAGCCTGATTATATTCTGATGCGTTTGTTTCTTTCCATGAAATACTTTTTGTAACATTTCTTATTATGTTTCTCATACCAGAATAATAGCTATGTTAACATTGAATTTCTGACTAATAGTTAGTCTTTTCAAATCCATCAATGCATATTGTAACATTTTAACACCTGAGACTGTCGTTCTTGTGTGATATGGGTATCAAGGAGTGCCATCTGTAAATTTGGAAGAGCTACTGATGGAGGATACATGGTTGAAAGTACTAGCAGTGGAGCTGCAAAAGCCTTACGCAAAAAAGCTCTGTACGTTTGTGGAAAACGAAATATACCAGGGTAGCGTACCAATTTACCCTCCTCAGCATTTGATTTTTAATGCATTTAACACGACTCT